GGACGAGCTACCGACTGAGAAACTCGGGCATACGTACAGCCTATGATGTTTATGAGTTAGCCCATATCGAGTACCGGTCGTGATGAGCGCGAGGTGGCTCTGGCAGACAAAATGATGTCAGATGCATCTGGTACTAGAGGTGCTAAAATAGCACTGAGCCGTGGCTTGCATGAATGGTTCCCTAGGTAAGTATGTGCAAAGGAGCAGTGAAATACGTGATGAAATCAGATCTTAGAGAAGTCATTCGCTATACGACGGTTGCCTGTAAATTCAAAGTAAGCTGACAACATACAAACAGAGACCTGCTTCACATCATTAAGTTCATGAAAAGCAGGGAGCTAGAATGGCCCAATTATGAAAGCTTAGGATAAACGAAAACTGCAACAAGCTATTTTGCCTTATAACAAGCTACGGTACAAAAACAGATCATTATACATAACGATCATAAAATAAACCCGAAATTAAAACGCAGGACATATAGCCTGTACTCGTTATGAATCGTCAGCCAGGGCAACGAATGTACTCTCTGCCACCTCCCCACACGTTAGAGTAGAAGTAGGAAGATCTGCTGCAGGTTCGAAACGGATGATTCCCTCTTGAATTCGTTTTTAAAACATTGATTAAACAAAAACATTACAAGATTTCGGTGAATACTTCTATCAATTTTAATCAACAATTAATATCTGGATCTGGCATACTTTTCTTTAAATGGCAGACCGTATAAAAAAGGAAATATTCGAGTAATGATCGATACCAGGTTGAAGAACACCTCAGAGGCTTACCGGAAAATGATAGATAATAACCGCGCAAGCGGCCACGCGGTTCAGCGGGTTCATTCCATTTGCTACTAATCACAGAAGATCCCAGCGATTTTACGGTTAAATCACGAACTGCGCTAGGAGCTGAAATTCACATGGATTTATACCACAAGCTTTATTAGCGTTATTAGGATTGCCATCTTACCTCCTTCCGGCATTGTAAAGTAAACCACTTCTCCCGGGGGTCCGTCGAATTTGCCATTGTACGCGACGACCACCGCTTCATACGTGTTCATTGGTTCATACAAGTCTACCAGAACAGTGTTTGAATTGGCGGGCACCAACACGTCTTTCAGGCGTTCCGTCACTTGCTGATAGCCGGTCAAAATGAGCCAACTTTGAATCTAAAGTTTGGAAATTATCAATTATTAAAAACGGTATATATTTTTACGCTGACCTTGTAGCCTTGAAAGTGACCTCTGATTGCTGACATATCCACATGTTCCCACTGAAGTCGAACAGCGGTCGAATTGACGATTTCAGCGATCTTCAACGACTTTGGAGCTTTCAGTGGAACTAAAGGATACAACAGAGTATAAGAACACAGGCGTAAAATTTTAAGATAAAACAACGAACTTACCGTCTTCGCCGGAGTAGCCAATCGCTGTCTGCGGTTCCATCAGAGACCTGCCAATCGCATTCAGGGCCACAACTTGCACCAGGTATTTTCTAAACGTTGGCTGGTCCCTGATGGTCACGCTATTCTGTAACGGATCTTCAACTTCGAACTCTTCCCACTGCGCACCGGGTTCATCCAGCTTGTACCTTACGAGGTAGCGGAAGCGATCGCCGTTCCAGTCCATTTTATCCATGGGCTACAGAATAGATAGGAGCAATTTTATCTTCACGTTCTGATTCAAATTTTGCTCATTTCTTACCTCCCAGTAAATCACCAGATTATCTGGTTGGTCTCCGGCGGCACTGACTTTCTCAGGGTTAGTATAAGGGTAGGACGGGGGCGTGTTGCACATTGCTCTTTTGTAACCAGGAAGTCCAGCGCCCCGACGATTGACAGCTATCACCCTGAACGTGTAGTTGACCCACGGACTGAGGTTAACGATTGCTTCAAAAGTTTCTTGACTCGTTTTCTTTTCTGTCTTAACATGAAAGGCCCTCAGCGAGTAAAACGTACGAAAAGAAAATATACCAAGTACAAATAACTACTGGAAACCCCTATTTTATGGCATATAGCTAAAGGACAGGAATTTCACTGCTGGTTCACTTCTAGTGCTTAAGAATTTAGAGTCATGCTCTTATTAACAACTTTTCATTATGAACCAATATTTCTGGACATTCAACACAAAAGTTAACTTGAACAGAGAGCTCAAATCATTTACACCATGTTAACAGTAATTTATATTCAACAGAATGAGCATCTAGTTTCCATAACATGTAACTCATGCAATATCAAATTTTACACCGTACTGCACCCTTCTATTCTCCTAACTGGCAATGGGACGACTATTTAAAGGGTTCCTGCTCTATGGTAAATGTCTCATTATTCAGTGGAGAAACCTCGCGCTCACTACAAACGACGTTGGTGAGCTATATGCTATACATCCTATATGCTACCACAAAAACATTAAAGTATGGCAGATAACGCATAACGCCCACAGGAACACATGGCGTATTGGACCACTTCATTGCTCATGGTGGACTACGGAGCCGTTTGAGTGGGCCATTATCCACGGAACTTGAGCACCTGCCATGTCAGACGTATTCTTGCGTCATTCTGCTTGCTGAAACAACCTCGTGCTCATCACGAATAATTCGCAGGAGTTTGTACTTCATACGCAAACGGTGCCCACGTCGAAGTACTTTCGATCATCTGACGAAGTCAAATAACTCATCAGTCTTTTCAGGATGAGATTTAAATGGGTGGAAACAGGCTACCATTCAAACATAATCGTTTGATGAAGAAATGACCTATGGACTCAAATAGAGGTAAATCGCTCAGCTACACGCTAAGCATGAAGAATACTCTGAGATTTTTATAAACAGGGAAAGATAAC